ATTTCCCAAATTCACAAAGTTCCCTAAATTACTTAAATTTCCCAATTTCCCTAACTTCCCCAAATTCCTCAAATTCCCTAAATTCCCTACATTCTAAAAGTTTCCCAAATTTCCCAAATTTCCTAAATTTCCTAAATTTCCCAAATTCACAAAGTTCCCTAAATTACTTAAATTTCCCAATTGCCCTAACTTCCCTAAATTCTAAAAGTTTCCCAAACCCAAATTTCCTAAATTTCTCAAATTCCAAAAAATTCCCCATATTCCCCAAATATCCCAAATTAACCAAATTTCCCAAATTTTCCAAAATCCCCTAAATCCCCAAAATCCCTAAATTTCCTCACCCAAAATCTATATACTACCCTAAAAATACACGAAACTCGTATAGTCCTCAAATGTAATAATCCAGCACAATCCAGGGTTAAGAATCGAACGCGATTATCGTGAAACGTGGTCGAGTAAGATCCACAAGATGAACAGCGGTACTCGAAACAGGTTGTTCGTGGCTTTTCAGAAATTCCCCGTACACCGGCATCCGAGTGGCAGACAAACGAGCATCCCGAATCCCAGATCGGTGATTTGTCGCACGTATCGTCTATCGTCCGACCTGGAATTGCACGAAAATCTATCGGCGGCGACGGTTTTAGCATTGGATCCGCGTAAGTGGATTCGGTACGAACGTTGAAGGCCGATAGGTGAAAACCTACTTGCCTACATTCGTGCAGCGTCTTCTACGTGCATCTCGAATTCATCGCACAGACACGACGGATCGAGACGTCTCGTATCTAGCGTATAGTCGGCTTGTTTGTTACTTTCCTTCGTGAAAAAAATGGAGAGGAAGAGCACACGTACCATTAAGCGGTCGCAGGAAACGTTTATTGGGCTAAACGAGAAGGCAGACTGAAATTTCTCGGATACGTGCAACGCGTGCACATCACCGTTATTTCAGGTTGGGACGATCGTACGATGGCAAACATTGTGGATTTATGCGGGGGAAAATAGTGAATCCGGGGAAAGGGGACATGTTGGGTGTTCGTTGTTTTATTGATGTACTTTTGGGTTGTGGGAAGTTGGGAGGTTATGGGGAGTTAGAATTTGGAGAGTTAGTGGAGGGACATGTGGACATGTGGAAGATTGGGGTATTCGGTATTTGGGAATTTGGGAATTTGCAAGTTGGGGGATTTGGGAAATTGGGGATTTGGTGGTGGGGAATTTGGGAATTTAGATATTTGGGAAATTGGGTATTTGCAAGTTGGGGAATTTGAGAAATTGGATATTTGCAAGTTGGGGAATTTGGGAATTTGGTTATTCGCAAGGTGGGGAATTTAGGAATTTCGATATTTAAGAAATTGGGTATTTGCAAGTTGGGGAATTTGGGAAATTAGATACTTGCAAGTTGGGGGATTTGGGAAATTGGGGATTTGATGATGGGGAATTTGGGAATTTAGATATTTGGGAAATTGGGTATTTGCAAGTTGGGGAATTTGAGAAATTGGATATTTGCAAGTTGGGGAATTTGGGAAATTAGATACTTGCAAGTTGGGGGATTTGGGAAAATTGGATATTTGATGGTGGGGAATTTGGGAATTTGGATATTTGCAAGATGGGGGATTTGGAAATCTGGTTATTTCCAAGTTGGGGGATTTGGGAAATTGGATATTTGATGGCGGGGAATTTGGGAATTTGGATATTTGCAAGATGGGGGATTTGGAAATTTGGTTATTTCCAAGTTGGGGGATTTGAGAAATTGAATATTTGATTGTGGGGAATTTGGAGATTTAGATATTTGGGAAATTGGGTATTTGTAAGTTGGGGAACTTGGGAATTTGGATATTTGCAAGTTGGGGAATTTGGTTATTTGCAAGTTGGGGGTTTGGGAAATTGGATATTTGATGGTGGGGAATTTGGGAATTTGGATATTTGCAAGGTGGGGAATTTGGAAATTTGGTTATTTCCAAGTTGGGGGATTTGAGAAATTGAATATTTGATGGTGGGGAATTTGGAAATTTAGATATTTGGGAAATTGGATATTTGCAAGTTGGGGAATTTGGGAATTTGGATATTTGCAAGTTGGGAAATTTGGGAATTTGGTTATTTGCAAGGTGGGGAATTTGGGAATTTGGTTATTTCCAAGTTGGGAGATTTGAGAAATTTGGACATTTGGGAAATTGGGAATTTTGGGATTTGTAATTATGAGGATGTAGGGATATTAGGATTTGGATATATTAGTATTTGGGGATATTGGGATTTGAGGATATTAACATCTGGGGATATTGGGATCTAGAAATACTGTAAACCTTGATATTTAAGAAAATTCACATTTTCTTTTCACACCTTAGTACCTCAGGATCTAGGGATTTCGAACAAAAAGCAATTTGGGGAAATTGATATCTAGTCACATTCTGATATTAAAATTTGACACCATATGAATTTCACTCTACCAAAAACTGCAAATTTAAAAAATTTGAAGACACTAATCTTTTTTTGAAATTTGGGAATTTAACCATTTTGAAAACCCCTCTTTAAGAATTCGAATATATAGAAATGAAAAAAACCTTGAAAGTTTAGTCTATTGAAAAAAAAAATTCTCCGAATTTGCAGACTTCCTTTTCTCATCCGTAGAACCACTATAACGAACTGTATTCTGTTTCCAATACTTCCGAACACACGTAAGTTCGATCCCGATCGTCTCACGATAGTGAAATCGCTTTTCGTTCTTCCTTATTTTCCAATCACTGGAGAGAGTCACGTTCGATCTCCGATACAATATACCAGATCGAGGAAATAAGTGTAACAAAGATATTTTAAAATTGATTTTTTTTTTCAAACACAAATTTTGCACGAAGAAAATACATTATGTTATATGATTATATTAATTACACGACATTGTATAAATAAATAATATTCTAAATTTTATTTATTATTTTATTTTGATTAGAATATCTATCTTCTCGTTTGTAAAATTTCAATGGAGACACTTAAATATCTCTCTGTTATTTATAGTTTTTCAAAGAATATCTCCAAAACAAAATTATACTATTTTAAGGAGCACACGTAACGGTAAGGTCATATTTTTCAAGGTCATTTTTGTCCTCAGGACTTTTCCCATGAAACCATGAATAAGAAATATTTAGATGTCCTCATTTAAACAGTGAACGTTGCTTGACGACATATTTTAACGAACTCTGCTGGAGATTCTTTTTAAAATAAATACAGACCTCATTAATTATTAATCAACTACTACTATAATGATAGAGATGATACAAATAAAAACCACTACAATATTCCAATTAATAATTTATTACTATAGTTACATAATAATTTTTAACTTGCATTCTATAACCTATATGTTAGAAATAAACATTGATATGTGGATTTATATTTGTAAGAAACAAATTTAAAATTGAATAAGTTATAAACTATTAATGCAAACTAGAATTGTATAGTAATTATTTAAGACTGTCTACAGTTAAAACTTTTGAGATAAGTTTAGCATTTTGAGACAAAAGTTTGTGGCAAGTTTAATATCTACAGACAAAATTTTGAGGTTAGTTCAGCATCTTAAGACAAGTTTAATAGTTGAAGATATTGAGGCAAGTTTAACAAGTTTATAATTCTGGCTTGTTCATCACTTCCATCACTACCAAATATCTTTGCTTTGTCTAAAATATATATCAGATTACTCGAAGGAACATTGAACGTAGACATATTGGTTTACGAACTCTATTGTTCATCACTTCCATCACTACCAACTATCTTTGTTTCGATTAAAATTAGTATCAGATTATTCTTAAAACAAGTTTAACATTTGAAGATATTGAGACAAGTTTAACATGCAGGATTAAAATTTGAGGCAAATTCAACATCTTCAGGTAAAATTTTGAGGTTAGTTCAGCATCTTAAAACAAGTTTAATAGTTGAAGATATTAAGACACGTTTAACAAGTTTATAATTCTGGCTTGTTCATCTCTTCCATCACTACCAAATATCTTTGCTTTGTCTAAAATATATATCAGATTATTCGAAGGAACATTGAACGTAGACATATTGGTTTATGAACTCTATTGTTCATCACTTCCATCACTACCAAATATCTTTATTTTGATTAAAATTTGTGTCATATTATTTGAAGCAGCATTGAAGGTAGACATATCAGTTTATGAACTTTATTGTTCATCACTTCCATCACTACCAAATATCTTTATTTTGATTAAAATTTGTGTCATATTATTTGAAGCAGCATTGAGGGTAGACATATCAGTAGACTCCGTTGTTCATTACTTCCATCACTACCAAATATCTGTACTTCGACTATTTGTATCAGATTATTCGAAGTAACATTGAACATAGATTTACGAACCCCACATAAAAGCATCGATTTTCCGAAACGCGACAACGGTTCGATGGATTCGTATAGTTGTCGATCGTGTGGCAGTCTGGTGTCATGAGTACAACGAGGTAACGGAGCGAAAACCCGGACATTCGGCAGGAATTTGGGACAGGTGGCCTAGTGGTCGCACGAGGCGAGCGTCTCTGATAATTGGCGATTAAACACGAGCGAGGCGTCCAATGATGGACCGGTTCGTTCGTTCAATATTCAACATTTTCTACTAACAATTACTTATGCCAGTTCGTACTCTTCGCGTTTAGAACGACGATGCTCGTAACAATTTTACTACTTTACGACCTGTTTCAGTTATTATAATTAACTACCCTGCAACGTCGAATTTTTATTGGATGAATTGTATTATTCATTGTGTTATTGTTTTTACTTGTGAAGGTTTTATTTTAAACTCGAAAGAATTATACGACAGATTAATTGAAATATCGTAAGAAGAAAAACAATATTGCAAACTTAATAAGTTTAAACATAAGTAATATAATTTTAAATATAAATAATATAACTTAAATATAAATAATATAATTTAAATATAAATAATTAATTTAGGATATATTGTAAATAATTTTGAGTAGTTATTTAAATAAAGAAATTGTGTTTTCAGCGGCGAATTTACAAATACTCCACCGTGGACGCTAAAACGGTATGCGGTGGCGAATCTTCATTGTAGCCTGTCTCCTATTAAAGGGGGTAAGTTTAATTATCACTACTTTGACATAATTTTACCCTCACGCAAAAACAAACCATGGTAGATCCTCAGAAAAATATATTTATGGGAGGTACAAGTTGAAACCACCCCTATTTCGAGTCATTTTCTTTTTAAATAATTTCACTGATTAATTAGTATAATTTTATTAGATAATTAATACATTTTAAACTCTGTAAATTGATTTAACGTTCAAAAGCAAACAGTAAATGTCGGTGGTTAATATTTCAAGTAACATCCCCTCCACTAAAAGGTTACACACCACATATTATACATATCACATATTTCACATATGATTAAATGATCATGTGGGGTTAGAAAATGAAGATCCTAATGACTTCATCCTCGTAATTTCCTGTCCCCGAAAACGTGGTACTCGATGTTTCACGCTGGCGAGCCCGAAACAATTCAGCCTTCAATAAACGGTACCGATCGAAAAAAGGTGGTCAGAAAAGTAAAAAGAAAAGAAAGAAAGAGAGGAAACGTGGAGGCAAGAAAACGTTGCGGCGAAACGTTACAAAGGGGGTAGGTCGATGTGTCTGCGTGGGTAATTACTACATTATAACCCAGATATCGCGTTGGGTACATAGCCAGCAATGCCGTTACCCAGTGCTCTGACCCAGAGCTAAGGGCGACTCGGAGGCCCGGTCGATGTCTTGAAATGGTGCGCCGATCCGGCTCATCCACGTCTACTACAAAGTAACGTTTTACCGTCGTCGGGGCCTTCGCCACGAATCGGTCTTACAAGATTGCGCGCAAAAATCGCACACGAAACGACCGGTTCCGTGATCTTGCCTTCCCACCCTGCATTCTTCAGGACCGACACGATTTCAATTCGTTCCTTGCCTCCTTCTTTCTTTTATTTTACTCCTCTCCGACGCCGCTCTAACAGGCAAGTCCATTATTCGGGAACGCCGGAACATTTTAAATACTTCCGTGTCACCGAATGAAATTAATGATCCCGGTTTCTTGTTACGTGTTTTCCACGGGGCGATTAGGGAAATTTTTGGACGATGTTGGGGTGGATTGAGATGTGGTTGTTAAGATGATATCGATTGGGTTGTTGAGTGAAATTAATTTGTAGAAACTCGAGTACAAACTCACTTACTTTAGCTTCTTTCAACCTAACTTCAATTAGTCTAGTTCTAACTTAACCTTAAATTCAGGAAGCCTTTAGCTAATTTCTTACAATATTAAGTCAACCTAACTTCATTTGTCCAAATTCAAACTCATTTACTTTAGTCTCATTCAATCTAACCTAACTTCATTTAGGCTATTTTAATCTAATCTTAAATTAAGTTAGCTTTAAACTAATTTATTATAACATTAAGCTACCTAACTTGACTTAGATTATTCAGACCTAACCTCAAATTAAAATTGTCATAATCTAGTTTATTATAATATTGAGCTAGCTCAATTTCATTGAACCTAAGTTAACTATATTCTCTCTAAACCTAACCTAACTTCATTTAGTCTGTTTTGACCTAACCTAACTTCATTTAGTCTATTTTGACTTAACCTAACTTCATTTAGTCTGTTTTGACCTAACCTAACTTCATTTAGTCTACTTTGACCTAACCTAATTTCATTTTGTCTGTTTTGACCTAACCTAATTTTATTTAGTCTATTTTGACCTAACCCAACTTCATTTAGTCTATTTTGACCTAACCTAACATCATTTAGTTTATTTTGACCTAACTCAACTTCAGTTAGTCTATTTTGACCTAACCTTAAATTAATTTAGCTTACTTTATCCTAACTTAATTTGATCTATCCTTAATTTAACTTAACCTAATCTTAACCCAACCTACCTTAATTTAGTCTAACCTAATCTTAACCTAACCTAACTAATATAACCTAATTGCATTAAAAATTTAACCTAATATAATAGATATGAATTATGAAACGTAACCTAACCTAAACGTCATCATTCAAATCTATTTATAACCTAACCCAACAGAACCTAATTGCATTACAGAATTTAACCTAATATAATAATCTAGTTAAGCTCATTATGCATGATTTCAATAAAACTATAATCGAAACCACATAAAATTATGAGATTAATTAATCACTCAGCTGTCACCGATATCTCAATTACACGATAAATCATGAAGCGTGCAAAGCCGATACCGTATCGATAAAATCAATATCAAACACCTACCATAATCTATCTCCTGTTAATCAAACTCCACCTTTCAACAGGTAAATTAGACTATTAGTTATTAACGTGCACTTAACGAGTGCAGTATGCAGACCCGCAAAGTAACATGCTAATTATTCACGCTCGCCGCGCGGAAAGAGCGTTTCTCCGTCTTTTTTGGAGTCCTGTTTACAAAGTGGCACATTAAAATGTTGCAGACGTAATGAATGACCGCCACGATACCTACTTCGCTCTTCCGACATACAACTTTCTATTTTGTTACTCGTAAACGTACATCCTACGTAATTCTTCACGAACATTAAAAAAGATCGTCGGTTTTTATTGCTGCGTTACTTTTGATCTATTATACGTCCGTATTTTTCCGTGCCGGGTATTTCGTGGCTGTCCTCGAACGACAACGGGTAACATGGCGCGAAGAGTAATGGTCACTGCACGGGGTCGATCAACTGAATGAACCGGAGTTAGAATGAATGAAATACCTTCTAAGATGCTGGAATTCTTCGAGACCTTCTTTACCATAATTTTCTCGTTTGCAAACTGGAAATTGCCAGTCATGTTATAATTTGCTGTACATAAGCGATATTTAGGAATTTAGAAATTTTTTTGATTGTTAGTTATTACATTTAGGAACTTTTGGGACGAGAAATTAGCTCATTTAGATTCGGTTAGAGGTTTTTGAGTTTACTGTCGATTCTCAAGGTTAGACACCGTCCAAACCAGATTCTCAAGGTTAGACCGTCAAAACCAGGTTCTGAAGGTTAGACACCGTCAAAACTAGAAATACTTAAGATGCAATAAAAATCAAAGACCTGAAGCTCTGATTGCAGCTCGAAAATTTGGAAAGATAGGTAAAATGAAGTTCTTTTCATCGAAATCCATCACGGGTTCGTTCACAGGTGACCCAGTAAGCTTTCGTCGAATTATGGGACAGGCTGGAAAGCCATGACGAGATAAACAGATGTCGGTGGAGGGCAGAGACGGAAAACTGAACGTGTATCCCGAAGAGCGGTGCTGGCCGATTGACCTGCGGCTAAAGACACGGGTGGTCCGTTATGCCCCAGGGTCACGCGTGACGCAATCAGCCACTACACTGGTGTACAGTGTACCCGATGCTCCTATTCCGTCGTTTGGTTGCCCCTCCTCGACCCTCCGAACCCGTCATTCGACGAACAGTCAGAACGGGTTTGTTGATCGGACGCTGTTGTCTCCCGTATTGGCCATCAGGAATGCGCACGACCGGAGATAGCTCTTTGAGCGGATCTTCGCTCTGTGACATGAGGCCACTCGATGAAAAATGCATCTCTTTTTGCCGGAATCAACTGACTTTTACCTACCGGCCTCTGGCCGCCATACTTGACATCCATTTCAGTTTTAATCTCCCCATTATACTAACTTACATTGCTCGAAAACATTCGATGTGTAAGACTACACCTTTTCAGACGCGCCGCGAAAGAAACCTTGAATGTGAACCTCTCTGTAGATTAACTGTAAATGTCTGTAGGTGTAGAGCTGCTTAATGAGTACACGTGTATACGGACTTTTATTGTCAATGACTACACGTCTATATTCTACCAAACTACACGTTTATATTCTACTGTAGGTGTAGAGATTGTTAATGACTACTCATGTACATGTTGTCAGTGACCATATGTGTATAGATTGATAATGACCTTAGTTACACATGAAGCTCATGTCAGTGACTATAAATGTATAAATTGTTTACGACTACAGGTGTACATGTTGTCAGTGACCATATGTGTATAGATTGATAATGACCTTAGTTACACATGAAGCTCATGTCAGTGACTATAAATGTATAAATTGTTTATGACTACAGGTGTTGATGTTGTCACTGACCATATGTGTATAGATTGATAATGACCTTAGTTACACATGAAACTCATGTCAATGACTATAAATGTATAAATTGTTTATGATTACAGGTGTACATGTTGTCAGTGACCATATGTGTATAGATTGATAATGACCTTAGTTACACATGAAGCTCATGTCAGTGACTATAAATGTATAAATTGTTTATGACTACAGGTGTACATGTTGTCAGTGACCATATGTGCATAGATTGATAATGACCATAGGTACACATGAAGCTCATGTCAATGACTATAAATGTATAAATTGTTTACGACTACAGGTGTACATGTTGTCAGTGACCATATGTGTATATATATGATAATGACCTTAGTTACACATGAAGCTCATGTCAGTGACTATAAATGTATAAATTGTTCATGACTACATGTACATATTGTCGATGACTATAACTGTATAAATTGTTAATTACATGTGTAGGTGACATGTATAGGTTAGCCATATACCAGGTGTGTATGTATAGGTGAAGTAGTGTATATGTAGACAACGAACATACATGCATACATGATTACACATGACACCTAAGAAAATAATCCACATCCAGCTTAATGTACACCCAATCATATTGTCGCTATACATCTATGAAAACTATAAACCCAAGTACCAAGATGATGTACTCATATTTTCCCTAAAACTCCATAATACTTGACCCTAAAAAAAAAATTAGCAAATTTGAACAAACCAGCACCATAAAATATTCAGGAGGTATCTGCAGCTCGTTTGTTTAAGTGGGACCTCAATTGGTGTCCAGACACCGACGACACGGACCATTAGAAGGTGCAAATGAAACGTTGCGAGATAAAGTTGTTGAACGTGTGTACCTCGACCGTTTTCGCGTGTCAGGTATCTTTCGTTAGCGTGTTAGCGAGGGCCGGTTAATTCTTTCGTCAAGATCGTGCGGAGTCAATTCACGGGGTCGTTACACGATAATTCAGGTGAATATGTATGCACGGTTATACGCTGATTGCACCGGTGATCTTGTCCGGGATAAAAGCGGTCCGTTCTTAAGGAACTTGCACGTCTGCAAATTATGCGGCCCGACAACGTCAATCTACTTTCACGCTTTCTCATCGTTTATCCCTTTCCCCTTGACGGATGTTCTACAAAATATTTCACTACCTACTTTGCATGGGAACACGTATGCAACGATTTTTTATGTCCGCAGCTGGCGCGAGCGGAGGATGTGGAGGTGGTCGAGGCGATACCGGGGGAGGACAACCGGAACGACAATTCGGCGTTGAATCGGCAGGACAACGACATAAACAGTTCCGATCAGTTGGCGTTGGAATCGTTAGGGGAAAAGGATGCGGGTGGTAACCATTACAAGCCGGGAGGACTTCGGGGACATCCCCTTCCGCTGCCCCCGAATCGAGGTGGTCTGGGACTTCCACATCCGAGACCGCACCATAACGTCGCTTATCACGGTCCACCGCCTCCATTGCCCCCCTCGAAGACACCGTCGGAAGCCATTGACAAGATCTACACCACGGGTGGTGGTATTAGCACAGCGGTAGGTGCAGAACCCTGGCCGGCGCCCACGCCAGACATGCCGAAGATCATTTCTCTGGACGTGAAGTGCGAGAAAAGTTTGATGAAAGTATACCTCGGCTTCGATAAACCGTTCTACGGCATAGTCTTCAGCAAGGGCCACTACAGCAACGTTAACTGCGTCCACTTGCCGGCAGGTTTAGGACGCACGTCGGTTAACTTCGAGATTAGTATACACGCGTGCGGCACCGCCGGGAACACGGAGAACGGCTTGTACGGCTACGGTGCCGAGTCCGGGTCAGGGACGTACTTCGAGAACATTATCGTGGTGCAGTACGACCCGCAAGTGCAGGAGGTCTGGGACCAGGCGCGCAAGCTGCGCTGCACGTGGCACGATCTGTACGAGAAATCGGTCACCTTCCGTCCGTTCCCCGTCGACATGCTGGACGTGGTGCGGGCCGATTTCGCCGGCGACAACGTCGGCTGCTGGATGCAGATACAGGTGGGCAAAGGTCCGTGGGCGTCGGAGGTCTCCGGCCTGGTCAAGATCGGCCAGACGATGACGATGGTGCTGGCCATAAAGGACGACGACTCCAAGTTCGACATGCTCGTGAGAAACTGCATGGCCCACGACGGCAAACGGGCCCCGATACAATTGGTCGATCAGAGAGGATGCATCACCAGGCCTAAGCTCATGTCTCGGTTCACGAAGATCAAGAACTTCGGCGCATCGGCTTCGGTCCTCTCCTACGCTCACTTCCAGGCGTTCAAGTTCCCCGACTCCATGGAGGTGCACTTCCAGTGCACCATACAGATATGCCGGTACCAGTGTCCGGAGCAATGCTCCGAGTCCCCGTTACTGCTGGAGTCCCAGGGATTACTGGAGAACCATCATCACCCGCCGTCCAACGGACACCCCGATTCCAGCTACGGACTTCCGCCTCCTATCCCGCTTCCTCTGGAAGCTTATTTGCAGGCGGCGGCTGGACGCCCTCGGGACGAGAGACGAAGGAAATCTCGGGAAATAGTGCCGACTCCGCAGAAGGCGGTCGGCGTCAATCGAATAATACGGGTGGTATCCACCGGTGACCTAACCTTCTCTATCCAGGACTCGAACAATGAGGAGCCTAATGGGCCCACGATGGTGTTTCCCGTACGTAACGAGAACACCGCCAACGCGGCTATGATTTGCATGACTACCCCGGGCTTTGCCGTTACTCTCGTAGTACTTCTTGCCGTCTTACTTTCGTCGTGTATACTATCCACCTACCTCTGTCTACGTCTAAGACCGTTCTCAGGAAAAGCCAAGAAGGCTACCGCGTATTACAATGGCGAACAAAACGCACCTAAAAAGTCGACGAGGACGTGTTTTTACTCGTAGGTACAAAACGGTCGCGGCAGTTTAGCAAACGGTACGCTGTCGATCGATTCTACTTTTTCCTTTGTGTCAAGCGGAGAATCATCGAATCATGCGGGGTCACATCCTGCGGACTGTTCTTCGATTATTTTGCGCGATCGAAATTTATGTATCGCAACTTTTGGTAGTTGCTCAATTACCGGATGTGCACGTGGGATTACTTGGGAAAATGGCGGCGTTCAATCAATTTGGACGCTCAAACTTGAATTTGATTTTTGTTCATTTTTTTGTGGAATTGAACTGAGGTCAATCAATTGAATTGATGTTTAGATTCAGTTGAACTCAGTAAGAAAAGAAACTCAAGTTTGTAGAATCATGTTGAGAGATCTGAAAATAATGGAAGACAAGATGGCGTCCGCGTTGTCCAAAGTAGTGCTGTGTACAGAAATTCTGGTGTATGTCGATCGATCGAGACCGTTCGCAGACGATTTTTTAAGTTTTATTCAGTGGATGTCGCAGAAACCGGTCCTCTTGGTCGCGCCATTCCAGGTAATCGTAGAGGCTACAGAATGTCGTAAGCACGATTCTGTATATCACCACGTACCAGACGGAGTATCGTTCGGTAATAAATAAATAGGATACTCTCTGCTACGTGTAGCGTGTCCGTTTGATCGAGAAGGATCGAACAATACGGATTCGTGCTTCGCCATAATGAAACTTACGCTCAAGCCCTCACAGGCGTCTGTGTATAGACATCAAGGAAATTTAGTCAAAGATAATCAAACACTTTGCGCTCGCGACTCCCTTGTTACAGTTATTATTCGGGACCATGGTACTTGGGTATTTTTATTTCCAATCGTTACCCGTTGTGTAACTCGGTTTACGATCAAGGCTGAAATACTGCGAGAAGAATAGTCTACGCAAAAATATCGTTTCTTGTTCTTCTAATATTGTTGACAATATTATTGTTTTAATTATTATTTATTTACTGCGTAATTTATGTTCCAAATTTGGTCGGCTTTATACGATGTATCTTGCACTTGTAACATACGAAATTAAACAGCTTTATTTTATGTTGTTTGCATTCAATTCGCTTCAGTGAAGTGAATTTTTCAAATAGCGCGCCAAGTTTTAGTGGAAATTTTTTTCCTGTCATATAAATTCTAAAAGTAATTAGCTAAAAATTTTACAAATTTTCCATGCGAATGAGTATTTTAGGACGCAAGATATCAAGATCAAATGTATAAAGCAATAGTCAGTAGCTTGTAATAGCACACGAAAGCTAATATATTTAATTGTAACTTAAGCACGTAGATATAAAAAAAATGTTTATAAATTATTCTTCGTCGAATGAGACAATGTATTACGAGAATATTAGCGTGTCAATTTTTTTGTATATTAATAAATGTATAATTATATTTTCCACGTTTTTTCTCTACCGATCTACAGGCGAATGTACCGCGGATTTTGTACTTTGAATAAAAAGATTAGGAAGAAATCATTGGTCAGGTCCTGTAAATACATTTATTGGCATTACCATTCATGTTAAATAAAAACCTCGATTAACAATTCTCTTTCTTTTCCTTTCGCTCGAAGCAGTTTGCCACGTCGCTATTCTTAATCCTTGCCTCGATACAGGGTGTCTCGCAATTAGCGTAGGTCCCTGAAATGGGGGGTAGCTGACGCAATTCTGAATAAGATTTCCCTTTGCGAAAATGGGGTTTGAAGCTTCGTTTTTGAATTATTAAGGAAAAACACGGACCAATCGGAGTGCGAGGATTACGCATGCGCAGATGCGAGAGCGCAGCTTCGAGTATAGAGGCGGAGCGCGTTATATTCTCTACTCTTCCTATTTCCACGCGTTGTAATTTCACGCTTTGTATTCTCTACGCT